GGGGGGCATGCAGGGGGAGGCTGTGTGTGCCTGGGGGGGCCTGCAGAGGGAGGGAGTATGTACCAGGAGAGGGCCTGCAGGGGGAGGCAGTGTGTGCCAAGGAGGAGCCTGCAGGGGGAGGGAGTGTGTGCCAGGAGAGGGCCTGCAGGGGGAGGCAGTGTGAGCCAGGATGGCCCTGCAGGGGGAGGCAGTGTGTGCCAGGAGAGGGCCTGCAGGGGAAGAGAGTGTGTGCCAGGAGGGGCCTGCAGGGGGAGGCAGTGTGTGTAGGGGCGGCCTGCAGGGGGAGGTAGTGTGTGTAGGGGGGGCCTGCAGGGGGAAGCAGTGTGTGTAGGGGGGGGCCTGCGGGGGGAGGCAGTGTGAGCCAGGAGGGCCTGCAGGGGGAGGCAGTGTGTGTCCGGGCCTCAGCAGGAAAAACAGACGGGGTTCACATGGGGAGGACAGGGGCACTCGGGTAGGACAGGGGGCAAGGTCCACTTGGCTAAGAGCAGAGGGCAGGGGGCCTGGCGAAGGGTGTGGCCGGAGGACAGACCCCCCAGTTCAGTCTGGAGAGTGGATGCGGGAGAGCGACGCCCACTGCCCCGGCCACCCCCACGGCAGCGTCTGCACCAAAGCATTTGAGGAACTCTGCTCAGGGCGGGAGCGCGGTCGCTGGAGGGGGGAGCATGAGCCCCAGGGGAGCGGGGCCCCCCTCTGCGAGCTCGGGCGGGGCTGCTCTGGGATGTGGGCACGACAGTGTGGGGGCCGCAGGACTCGCTTCTCCATCAGTGTCCTGGGCCTGGGGACCACCTTGCACCTTCTCTGGGCGCAAACACCGTGGCCCGGCACCACAGCCGTGTCGTCACCTTCAGACGCGTACTCCTCGCCTGGCCGGGGAAGGACTCACCTATGACCCTGAGCTCCGCGCTGGAGAAGGCGGCCCCGTGTTCATTCTCCGCCACGCACTGGTACATGCCCGCGTCCGACAGGTTCACCACGGTTATGTTGAGCGTCCCCTGCTCGATCTGAATCCTGTCCTGTGCGAGAAGAGCGGGCAGAGAAACAGTGACCTTCCACGCCCGCGACCCGAGGCACATCGCTCCACACTCTATGGAGGGGACTTCAGGGGAGGCAGAGAGCCACCCTGCACCCATTTCCATGTGCGGCTATTTATCTGTCAGCTGCACTTGCGGCGGGTCAGATGCTAAACACAAAGACCAGGACACGAGTTAGGAAACGGAATTTAAATTGTAGGATTCTCTTGAGTTCTCACTGATTTAATAGTGAAGCTACTTAATACCTCCTCTAAACAGATGAACTTGAAATTGAAAATGCTTTTGTACTCCAAGGCTTTGTGCTAACTGTGGGCACGTGGTGGAGACGCGGCAACTTTATCATTTAGAGGCATTAAGACAGTCAAATGACGAACAGATGACACTCTGAAGGTTAATAGGATTGTATTCTTCTCGGGGGCAAATAATTAATACCAGTGGAGGTTTGTAACAAAAATGTACGTATTAATAATTTAACTTTCCCTGACTTTACTGCCGTCGACGGTGTGATTTAAGCCGAGGACCATCTGCTGGCGGCCGCCCGGAAGGGAGCCAAGTTGCAGCCTGCACGGGAGGCCTTTTCCAGTCGCCACCCTGAGGACGCACACTTTCACATCCATCGCCCCACGTGTGGGGACGAATCCTGCTCCTCCGCAAGCCGGCCACGGGAAACACGGCAGCAGAGAAGGACATGCTGGTTTTCTGCTGGGCGTGGGCCTCTGACGTGGCTGGGTGGATGCTTCATGGGACCTGAGCGGGTCTGGGCACTGGCGTCCCCTGACGTGGTGCACAGGAAGCGAAAGCCAGCCTCGCTCTTAGCGATGCGTCCGAGTTTGGCTTCTGCAGATGAGAGGCGTGTGGGCCGGGGGAGCTGAGAGGCAGGGACGGCTCGGGAGGAGCTGAATGCGCCTCATTCTGGGTGCTCCTCCCTGCCCCTGCTCCCTGAGGACTCCCCAGGGTCCTGCAGCGCCTGCACGGGCCCTGCGGGTGGGACCGGGACCCTCCTCCACACAAGATCCTAGCACGCGCCAGAGTCCATGCTGCAAGGCTCCGGCTAACTCTGCCGTAAACCGTGGACATCCACGTGTGGGCACCAAAGCCACGATACAGAGCTGCACAGCATGGGGCCGGGGACCGGGTGAGGGATGCTGTCCACCCGTCAGCTGCCTGCACGTCCACTATTCCCACTAGCACTGACCTTCAGTCATGTGCTCCTTTCCCAACAGCTCACCACTGTCCCACTTCCACAGCAGTGGGGCTGCACTACCCCTGAGGGAGGATGCAACAGCCGTCCACTCGCTTACCCGAGTCAGCAGCGGTTCGCCGTTTTTGAGCCACCGGTATGTAGGCTTGGGCCTGCCGTTTGCCCGACATTCCCAAAAGACACTCTCTTCCATGGCCACGTGGATATCATTGATTTTTTGAATCCAGCTGGGTTGGGCTAGAGCAGTTGAAAAAGCAAAGGGGAGCGGGTGTTCAGTGCACACTCAATCTGCTTTTATCACACGCAAGCAAAGGGCTCTCCACAGAATTCCTTCTCGAGAAGGTATACAGAGAACAACGTCGGGTGAGGGTCCCCTACTGGCACACCCTGTTTCCTGGGGTCAGTGTTGCTGGTCTTCTAATACCCAAGCAAGAAAGGAAAAAATGCTATTATCTATGTGCCAAGTCTCTGACCCGCTCCCTTGATAAGCACTGCTGATCTTCCCCTCAGGGGGAGAGAGCCCCCAGCACCCACTCAGGGGATAAGGCCCCCAGCACCCACTCAGGGGAGAAGGCCCCCAGCACCCACTCAGGGGAGAGAGCCCCCAGCACCCACTCAGGGGATAAGGCCCCCAGCACCCACTCAGGGGAGAAGGCCCCCAGCACCCACTCAGGGTAGAAGGCCCCCAGCACCCACTCAGGGGAGAGAGCCCCCAGCACCCACTCAGGGGAGAGAGCCCCCAGCACCCACTCAGGGGAGAAAGCCCCCAGCACCCACTCAGGAGGAGAAGGCCCCCAGCACCCACTCAGGGGAGAGAGCCCCCAGCACAGCCCTGGCCCCTGTGGCCCGGCTGCCGCATTCCCAGCAACACTGCGTTTCCCAGACTCCCTTGCAGGCAGCAGTCACGGCTTAGCTAGGTTCATCCTGTTGCCTGTGCGTGAGCGTGGGGAGGGTCCGTTCCAGGCAATTCACTCGTCCTGGTCTCTTCCCTTCTCTCTGGTGGGAAAGCACCGACAAGCGACAGAGCCTCGTGCTCTGAGCGCGGAGCTGCAGGGAACGGAACTGCCGACCTGCCAGCCCTGGGCCCTGAGGGGCCAGGTGGAGCCAAGCGGCCAGGCGTGCCTGCCTGCGTTTGGAGAGCCAATGCGGGGAAGAACTGACTTCTCACTCAAGCTATTGGCTTTCCACGTCTGCTTTGTCCGAATGGCTTAGCCTGTTCCTAGCTACAAGACCTCTTCAGAAAAATGTGTATCCTGAAAAAGCTACGCTTGGATTTCAAACATTGTGCACCAAAAGAATTCCACTTCCCACGAACTTTGCTAACACACTTCACACCGCACACTGCACAGCTAATGTCTGCGGAAGACTGTCACTGTCCTTGTTTGTAACGGAGAGATTCCGTACTCACAGAATACCGTCTGCGGGAGTACGGCCCTAGATGCCGATACATGAGTGAGTCCCGGTGTCTGCCGAACCTTCCAGGAATTCAAGCCAGCATGCGATTCCCATGCTGCACTGCTCTCCACCGCCCCCACCCAAATGACACCACATGTTTATACGCCACGGAAGCAGCACCACTGCTTTCTTTCCTTATTCTCAGCCATTACAAAGGCAGTGTCGATTCCGTGTCCCACAGAAACAAAACTCCGCACAAACACCAGCTCTTGCCACAAGCACAGCTTCTGCAGTTAAGTAGAATGGTAAACACATTTAGGTAGGGATCCCTAGCCCCCAGCCACGCGGGAGACAGCACCGCTCTCCTTCCGGAATGTCATCTGCTCACGGCCATTTCTGTGGGCACAGTCCATCAACGTAAGCCCAGGAATCAGAGCTGATACCCGAGTTTAACCAGCAGACGCTCCTGAGAACCCTCGGCACGCCCCGCAGCTGGCTTAGCCCCGGCTCCCTCAGGCTTCAGAGCACCCGTACGCGGATTCGCAGGAGAACCAGGGTGCCGGGGCCACCTGCTGCCCTGTCCTGCTCCACAACAAACGGAGCTGGAACAGCTCCACAAGGCACTCGCCGGCAGAGGTCTCCAGGTCCTCGAATAAATGCTGCTTTCCTCTCGTTTCCATCTCTGAGCACTTTCACGTCTTTCAAGGAGCGAAGCACAAGTTCACAAACACTCGACTGACGGAGCCGGGGCAGCGCTGCTGTGAGGGCGGCCGGAGGGTCAAGTCCAGAAAAAGTCCCAACGTCAACAAGCATTCACTCGGCTGAGCGCCTGTGACCTCCCTCCCTGAAAGGACTGGGATCCGCCCTTGTTCTGCACCTCCCGCCGCTAACGAAAAGCCGGCTCAAGAGGCAGATGCTCCCAGCGCCCAGCCTGCCGAATCCCGGCCACTCCCGCAGGGCCGACGTTAGCCCTGGGCCTGATTTCACATTCAACCTGCACAGTATTTACAGAGCCCATGCACACACAGAAAACAACAACAAAAAGCCACAGAAATCTGCGTGGAATGTTAACCACCACGCCATTCTTGTGAAAGGGAGTGAGGGGCAAAAGCAGAAGGGCAATGTCAAGTTGAAGTTCAAAAAGCAAACATCAAACCCCTCACGGAGACAGAGATTTCCATGTCACAGATTTCCGGGAACACCTGGGCTGCTTCTCCGCTTTGTTCCACAGACACAGGCGGATGCAAGCGCAGCCCTGCGCTCTGAACAGGGAGGCAGGGGCGGGAGGCAGGGCCTCGGGAGGATTTCAGAAAAGACCTTGCACGGGGCTAGCCAATGACACACTTCTGAGGGCTCGCTCCGTCTCTCGCAGCAGGGTCACGGAGGTGGAGGTGCCCCACAAGAACGCTCCGCGGTAATTACTTGTTTGTGCCGGCCAAGGTGAAATCAACAATTAACTCGGTGTTATGAGCCACCCTCAGGCGCCGTCTCTGACTCCAGGAAGCCAGATCGGCAATGACAGAAATGAATTCCTCTACAGGTGTGGATCCGCCACGCTCAGGAACGGACGTGTACCGTCTCCAGGCAGAAAGCCGGACAACCAGACAGCCTTTGTCTGACGTGCCCACGGGACAAAAGCCCACCGGTGAAGCGTCTCATCCACTTGCCTGGACTCCGTGGGTCCCGTCTACACGGTTCAGTTTTTCACACCGAAATGAACAGAAATCTGTGCTTGATGGAAATGGTTCCTGCATCCCCGTGTCTCTGTGGGCCACCGACTTCAAAGTCTCTGGATGACAAACACTCAGGTTCAGTGTGTTATGGAAAACGCGTCTGGGGATGCGGTATCTACCACTCAGTATCGAGGGGCCACACACTTAACTACACGTCTAAATACTCACACAGACCAAGGTCTAACTAGGTTGGTTCACTTCTGTGATTTCAGGGGCATTTCTAAATGCTTTTTTTGGGGGGGGTAATATTTGAAAGTAAATTCCACAAATAAAATGTAAAAAATTCGTAGAGTAAAACAAAACCATGTATTTCCGGCCTTGGTGTTCTTTCAAGGTTTGCAGAATTTGCTGTGTGAGGCACCTGCGTCTGGCCTCGAGCCACAGAATATAACAGAAGGCTAAGCGGCTGTGCTGGGGCGTGACCCTGTGACAATCTCTTCATTTCAATCCTGTGTTCAGTAACTGCCAGAAGTGACCTCAGCCGGTGCCCTGCACTCCAGCCAGCACGGTCCTGCCAGCACCTTAGCCAACAACAATTCATATCGCAGGCAGATCGAACGTGAACTCGGTGGGTCAACAAATCCCAGGAGTGTCTGGCTCTCCAGTTTTCCCCAAAATGGAATATTTCTAACAGAAAGCAGTGGCCTTTTGCTCCAAGAAATTAAAAAATCTAAGAGAAAGGATAGGGTGACCCCAACCTTAAACATCACCGTAATAAAGATGGCCCACGGCCTCCCCTCCACAGCTACTTTCCATTGTCTACACAGTTCCGGGCGCGCGAGCTGCCCCGGGGGCGTGGGGATGAGCTCCAGTGAGCCCGAGGGCAGGCCCGGCGTGTCCCCCAGACATGAGGAGATGCTTCCCCGGACTCCAGCCTGGGCCTCGTCCACTGTGGACAGCGGCCCTGACAGATCCTCAGTGTGGCCTCCCGTCCAGTGTGGTCAGGGTCACCCCTGAGGTTTCCCAAGCTTCCTGTAGGGCCTTTGGATTTGTGATCAGCTTTCCCTTAACCCCTGCCTTCCAGCGGGCAGGTGTTCCGGAAGGAAGGCGTGGCTTCCTGGACCCACGCGAGCCCCATCCGAGAGCAGGGCCGACCCGACCCCTGAGTAGCCCTCACTGGCTCCACCCATTTGACCTCAGGCTGCACCCACTCCCCACCGCTGGCAATGGCCACCCCACCAGGGGCTCCTGGGAGGTGCCCACCGCAACTAGAGCAGCCTTGCTTGTGTGAAGCCTTGTAAAATTCAAGTAAGGAAAAGCACGGTGTCGCTGCTGTGTGGTGTGGCACACAGGCGTGGGATCCGCAGCCTGGAGACAGCCAGCCTGGCTCTTGCCCCCGACACGGGGGCGGCTCGCACTTGACGCTGTCTGCGGTCCCTTCTGAAGTGACAGTGCCAAGCCGTCAGCCTTTAGGTTGCCTGTGGAAGCAGCTGGGATCAAGGCTGCCCGGGCCTGCTGTGCAGCTGTGCCTCGTCCACACCTTCTTCCTCACGTCTTCACCTCTTTAAAGGCCACAGCTGATTTCTGCCTCCGTGGGTGGCAATGGGAAGTCCCGGCCCCGTGCAGGCGGGCGGATGCTTCTCCTCGCAGGCACTCTGGGTGGGGGGTGCTCCCTCAGGCCTGCAGTGCTGTGTCTGCGCCACACACCAGCGCAGGCCCCCAGGACTGCACCAGGGAAGCCCTGAGACAACCCCCCACCCCCAACCGTCTATGAGGGGACTTCCAGGAGTCCCTGGAAAACGAGACTGAAAGAGAAGTTTATTTCGGTGCAAAAACTCTTAGAAATTCATGCAGTCAAGGGGTGTTCCTGTAATCCATGGGAGACGTGCATCGTGGGGAACACAAACATGAAATTCAGAATTTTTCTCCAAAATCACGTTGTCTTTTAATTCGCTTCCATGAACTTTCTTCAGGACCTGGTATCGGTGTCACTCAGCAGAGCAAGGCAGCCACTGCCCTGGGGGAGTGCAGGCCTGGAGCTCCGTGGGCCCCTCCCTGCTGCCCTGTGCATTCTGGTAAAGAGCCACTCCCCTCCGTCCCAGATGAAGTGACCTTTGTCCTACTTAGTGAGTTAGTTCTTAGAAGTAACCTTTGCCCCACTTAGTGTGC